TCAGAACACCTGCAAAGGGAGAAAAGAGAGAAAATTTCGAGAGAGAGAGAGAGATTTCGTACAAACGTCGGCGAGTGTCCAGTTTCTCCGACGAGCCCTCAAACCACCCTTAAACCAACACCAAACGACCTGTTACCACCATAAGAGGGATCCCTAACGAAAGCACAATAACTCAAGGTGCGTTTTGTGTTATTTCGTAAGCGTCGTCGTCGGTAACCGAGGTCGGAAAAATTAGGTTCCTTAATCGATTCTTAGATCTATGGCTTTTAGGAGCTTTTAGGCCGCAAAACTCCCAGAAAAGAAAGAAGGACGACGAACAAAGAGGAAAGGGGAAGGAAGAGGACCGAAATCGGCAACGGAAACGCCGCGGGAAAGAGAGAGAAAGCTCGCCGGAAAATCGGCCGAAGTCGGGTAAGGAAGACGAGATCCACGGATCCGGGTCAACCCGAACCCAGAACCCGGGAGAGCCAGCCCGTTCCTCCCTTGGCCTTTGCCTTCGGCCCAGCCCAACTACAGCGACCCAAACCTCAAACCGGCCCAGAAGCTACGGTTCAGTTGAACCAACCCAGACCAGACCCACGGTCCAATTGAGCCGGCCTGCAAACCAAACTCCTGCGCCCCAGCCCAGTAAGCCGAGGCCCAAGGACTAGTCTTGGCCTAGTAGCCTTCCACAGCCCACGACCCGAACCACGACCCGAACCGGGCTGCGACCCGCGCTTCGACCCGACACTACCGCCTGACGTGGCTTCCTCTGCTACTATCACGTGTCACACAGCGGCGCAGGCAGTCCCTCGGCTTGGCTCGGTGCAAACGGCTCGGGCTCCCTCCAGCGACGCTCCGGCGGCTCCAGCAGCTGTTGGGCTTGGCTCACTTGTTTTCAGCCTGGTTTCCACTGTTCCGACCCTCCTGAATCTGTTTTCAGCCCCGATTAAGGTATCCGAGTACTAACGTAAAGTGGTGGACGGTGTGATAGGAAAGAAACCCCGGGGACGTAGGGAGCAGCTCTCACGGAATGGGAGCTTACGTTTAGCGATTTAGGGAGTACTTCGGCCAAGGCCAACCAAGTAAGTGGCCTTACTATAGGACAGACTAAATAAATTGTATGATGCGTGATGTTATGTGCCAGTATATACATATTTTATTGAGTGACGCTTGATATGTTTGACGCACGTTGTGGCATTATGATGAGCATGATGATTGCATGATTTTTACCTTAATATGATGATGTTTTCCATATTGAGCATGCTAGATGATGATGAGTGCCATATTGCATCATGTCGTTAGATCGACGTAGGACACAACCCTATGAGCATGAAAATGATAGTAATATATATATCCATGAGTATGCATTACCTAGAGTAACAAAGAGATGAGACTAGAGGGTTGTGTCAGAAGAGACATTACGATGGATTTAGAGGGACCTCATGCATTTTGTATGTTCATAAGCATAGGGCTACTTCCCCTAGAGATGATGGTTGCGGACGCGCACCTTACGATGAGCGCGAATGCGCACAGGTGCGAAAGCACACAGATGAGGGTGTTCATGAGGCGCATGACACTATGGGGTTCCGCTGACCTCCGGACGTCGCTACAGATTAGCTTGACCAGAGGGTCCAGGGGGTGTGCGAGCGCCCTGGGGACTCACATTCG